GAAGTATCTCTACAAATCCTTATTAAAATTGCTATCACTATATAGGTATTGACCAGAGCTGGTGGCATGTACGTTACATGTTAGGCTTGTGATTAGGCTGCTAACCACAAGGTCAGCAGTTTGAAACTATCAGCCACTCAGAGGAAGACAGGGCTTTCTACTGAGTAAAGCGTCACAATCTCATACGGGCAATACTATCCTTTCCTATTCGGTTGATACCAAGGGCTCAAGTAGCAAATGTTTTGAGAATGATGAGGGCAACGAATGTACAAATGTGCTTGACACCCAATGGATGGATGGATGGATTGTGATAAGAGTTGTACAAGCCCCCAATAAAATGATTAAAAATAATAACCCAAACCCATTGCCACTGAGCCAATTTCACTCATAACTCCTCTATGTAGGGTTTCCAAGGTTACATATCTTCATAGGAGCAGACACCCTCATCTATCTGCTGAGCAGTGATTAGTGGGTTTGAACCACTGACCAATGCTTACCTGACACATAGAAAAAGTCTGCATTTTCTCCTATACCTACTATGCAGTTCAGTGCACATTCCCAGGAGTATGGTCACTCTGAAGACATCTGATCCAGAGCACTGAAGCTATAATTTTTATAAACAGTAAATGAAACAGAATACTCAAGAGTATGTCAGGTTCCATAATTATTTCCTGTTTGCTAAAATTAGCATGGGTCATACCGAACAGTCCATGGTGTGGCTATCTTATTCCTCATCTTAATCCTAGGAATACTTTTCTCAAAGAAGCTTTATCCTTCTTGTAGTTAACCAGCAAGTTGTGATGAAACTGTTTTTGTAAACTAAAACTTTCTTCTTTTCCTTCACTCAGGAGCCCTAGTGGCATAGTGGGCTGCTAACTGTAAGGTTGGCGGTTTGAAGCCACCAGCAGCTCTGAAGGAGAAAAATGAGGCTTTCTACTATCCACAGTTATGGTCTTGAAAACTCACAGGGGCAGTTCTAACCTGTCCTATAGAGTCACTGTGAGTCAGCATCAACTCAATGGCAATGAGTTTAGTTTGGTTTTTCTCCTTTACTCTACTGTCCAAGTAAGGGCCTTTTATATACATAAACATTTCTTTTTTTAAAAAATAGTAAAACATCAATTTTACCCAATTAGTGTAAAACATGTAAGAAATAACTTCAGGCTTGGGGAATACTGATTTTGTTCATTATTCTGCCAGGAAAAGGCTATGGGCTTAGAAAAGAATTCAATCGTGTGTATGTAAAACTAGAGGGCTCCATAGAGAGACTGGCTTCTCTAGGTGGCACACAGAGTTGAGCGCTTGATGAGTAGCCAGAACGCTGGAAGTCTGACCGCACTCAGAGGTGCCTTGGAAGGCAATCTGCTCCCAGCCCTACAGAGCTCGTAGCCCTCTGCACACACAGGGTTGTCACAACTCAAAAGTGACCCCAAGACAACTAAAGCCACACCACAGAGATGCTAGTCTTGATACGGAGGATGACTTCTTTCTTGAAAAGAAAAGAAAAATGAAGCAGGGTTTGGTAATCAATGAAGTATGAAAGAACTAACAAATATAGAGGTGTTCTTCAAATCTAACTGGTCCCCAAGCCCTTTGAATTTTGAAATGTCTCAAATTCTGTCCCCTCTCTTTCAATGCTGATGTATTTAAGCCCATATCTTGAAATTGACCCTTTTTTAAAAAAGCCTAAGTAATTTCTGTCTCCAAAATCTCTTCTCTTCAATTTTGTCCTTTACATTACAAAGGATCTTCTAGTAATGACATGACCACATCATTATTGCACCAAAAAGATTGACAGACTCCCAATTATATCATTTGGATGAATTTACTGGTTTTAACTAGTGTCATAGACTCAACCATATCCATATTCTTTTACAAATCCTTCATAGGTCCCTCTTCAAATAACTTAGCTAGTTTTTACAATTTTGTTACTTTTAATTGAAGTTTTAGTAATCAATCAACAAGTGCATATCAACTGTTGTACACTGCAGTTTGTAAGAGTGTTCCTAATGTCAAAAATCTTAAACTTTAGTTTGACACTGTAAAAGTAATAGACATTGTAAAAGTAAAATAATCTAAAAGACCTTGTTGCATTGTCTGGCAAAGTCACAAAAGGAGGTAGCTATGAACAATTAATGGAAAGATTTTAAGAAAGAAGAACTTAAATGGAAACCTGCACAGAAGGCAACATACTGGATAACAGAAACAGGGATTGAATATATAGGATTGAATATATATATAGGCTATATGGAATATATAGGATTAGGTAGAAATCTGGCAGGAGCAGGGTGTCAAGGTGGGTGTGAAAAAATTCACTGTGGAGGGAAAGAATGAGGGGCTATATGAATGTAGGGCACTAATGACGAAGAACAGTGAGATACAATCTTGCCTATATAAAGCGAAGTGTCACTATAGGATGTCCAGGAAGTCAGAAAATGTACATATGTATTTAAATCTGGATTTATAGATATCAGCAGAGATTGCATAAGAAAATCAATCTGACATCAGTACAGAAGATGCTATGGAAAAGACAGGTAAGCAAGTAGAGATATTTGGAAAGAAATTATGTTTTAAAGAGAGATTGAAATTAAAGTCATCAAGGGAAAAATAAGGTTTTGAATCTTGGCACTGTTAGATAAGCATTGAACTGCTAACTGCAAGGTCTGTGGTTGAAACCTACCAGTCACTCTGAGGTCAAAAGATGAGGCAACCTGCACCTGTAAAGATATACAGGCTTCTAAACCCTCTATACGGTCACTATGAGTCAGCATTTTCTCAATAGCTGTGGGTTTAGCCTTGGAATCTAGGAAAATGGGTAAATCGCTAAAATAAACAAAAAAACTTAGATATAAATGACAGTTGGGATTATAAGAAGAGAGAAGGGGAATTAATGAGTTTGGTTTTCGGTATGTTAGATTTAAGCATATCCAAGTGTGTATGTTTTACAGAAAGTTTTATTAAATAACACTGCAATAAAGCCCAGAATCTAGGTTAGATTAAGCAGAGTGGTCTATTTAGAGCTTTATCACTACAACCCTGGAAGAAACCAAACCCACTGCTCTTGAGTTGATTCTGATTCATAGTGAACCTGCTAGACAGAGTAGAACTGTCCCATAGGGTTTCCAAGGCGGTACATTTTTACAGAAGCAGCCTGCCACCTCTTTCTCCTGCAGAAGAGCTGGTTCACCCCAATGACCTTCTGGTTAGCAGCCACGCATTGAAACACTGCACCACCAGGGGCTCTTTCATCACTCATTCTAAAACCATATTCTAAATTTTGATCCTCAAGCAGAAGGATGGTAGACAAAAATTACAAGCCACATTTCACAAGTAAGGAAACAAATGATCAGAATTAATGTGACTTCCCCAAAGACAAACGGTTCGTTAGCAGCAGAACCAGAACAGGAGCCAAATTCTTCAGAATGTTAGTTCCCTTCCCTTGGCCCTTATCCTCAAGGGCCTCCAAGAAGAAAAGCCCAGGCCCGGCCCTTGTTTCAAAGGGAGGGATTGCCATGGTCTAACAGAGGAGGCCAGGAGGGCAAGAAATCGAGGGGGGGGGGGGGGAGATATTCCAAAGGATTTCCCACAATTAATCACAATTAATTGAAATGTGCAAGGAAGAGAGCCTAACAAGAGACTACAAGGTGACAGCAAGGGAATTTTACAACTAGAAAAGTGCTGTCAGGAAAGTAAAAAATGGCTAAAGTATTTCGTGATTTTAAGGCTAAGGAAAGTTTGAAGAACATGGGAATTGTCTTGGAGATGGTAACTCATTTGATAACTGACTTATGCTTTCTCCCTCCCCAAATTTAACCCTTGACGCATGAGTATTAGGATAAAACAACAACACAAAACCCTTAAAATAGGATTATCAATGCCCATTTGGTAAAAGGATTGCATTTTTAATTTTTCATACATCAAACTTCTATACTCCAAGCTACATTAACATAAGTGAAATGATTTTTCACTCTGGAAAAGTAACTTGACATAGTCTAAAAAGATAGGCACTCATAATTATTCTTATAGCAATGTATTTTAATTTTTAAAATGACAATTCAAATATATCTCAACAGAACCTGGTTGATTATTTCACTTTTTATTTGGCAAAAATAGTATTTCAGCTTCTAATGTCTTCATATCTGAGAGCTTGGACTGAGTATAAAAATAGTTCTCTATACTGTACTTTTTCCTGTTAACAATTTTACTAAGTCAAATGTTCAGTAGAGTAAAAGTATAAGCTATCAAGTGGCGAGGCTCCGCACTCTCTCACAGCCATCGCGAGTTGATTCACACGCATAATGGCCCTCCGGGACAGGGGAACTGCCCTTGTGGGTTTCCTAGATGTGAGTGTTTACCGGAGTGGAAAGCCTCATCTTTCTGCTGCAGTGTGACTGGTGGATCTGAACCAAAGGGCAACCCAGGCCACGAGGGCTCCAATGACAAGACGACAGCTATAGCCAAACCAAAATTGCATATGAAGTAATTGACCAAGTGTGGATAAGAAGGGTAAAATACATGCAATTGGCATAGTGGTAACGAGTGGGGCTGCTAACGCAAGGTCAGCAGTTCGAAAACACCAGCCACTCTGCGGGAGAAAGGGCTTTCTATTCCATGAAAAGTCTTGGAAACGCACTGGAGCAGTTTTACCCTCCCTATAGGGTCGGCTGCATGCAAGTCAGCATCAACTCGTTGCCAGTGAGGTTTTTTATTGGAAATAATGTCAATTTCCTGGTTATATATACACCTTCTCTGTCTTAAGCAGTTAAAGAAACTTCTTTTATTCTTGCTCTAAAATAACTGATATAAGATTTTTTTTAACAAAAATCAACTTTCACTCATGGTGCTTAGAATACTGCATAATCTTTGAAGAAACCAATTTTTAGAAGTTTTTGTAAATTCCATTACAAACATGTCTTGAAAGTTTTAAAAACTAATACAACAGCCAATGAGTTAAAAAGGTGAAAATCACAAACAAGCCACTTAAACAATACGCTACTGACCTTGTTCCAGTCTGAAGAGTGTCTTTTCTAGCTTTTCCATTTCGTTTAGAAGTAAAATCCGAATCTCTTTACTGGTTCCCATTTTGGCAGTGAAAGGAGTTGAAATCTTTCAGAAGAATGAAAAGAACTCCGAATTCGAATGCGTTATCCCTATGAAACAAAAAGGAATTAAGATACAGAAAATAACTTACTTTAAACTCTGCAGAGCTGACAGCTACACTTACATGTTCTGGGTGTCTTTTAACCCTGTAATA